ACCTAGAGTTCCGATTGAGAATCAACCGTCAATGCAGGTTTGGGGCGACCACTGCACAGTGTGACCTAGATATTGTACATCAGTGATCAACCCAAAAGGTGCTACAGTTCAACATGGACAGATGCAACGTATTCTACATGCGCGTAGGGGTAGGCGTCCTCGCGGTATACTCAGCCCGCGCGCGACTGGTGGTGGTCGCGCGGCAGCGAGGCGCCGTTTCGGCGTACAGCTGACGCATTTCATTTTATTACTCTACATACGACACCTGAGAACCTATTCCGACAAGCTAGGAACGAATGTACTGCAGCGGCCATCCGTCGAACGCGACCGTGTTGTCCTTGTTTAGGATAACTTGCGCTGTTCCAAACAATCCTCAAATGACTCGAAAACTGGTAACCAGCACGTCGGCTCGTTGCGACAGGCGTTCGGACAACTAAGCGCCTCCATTTTCAGACAGATGCTCAATGCGTATGTTCGTTCCCACGTCAAATACGCAATCCAAGCCTAGCAACCGTGGCTGAAGCGCGACCTTACAGCACCGGACCAATCCCTATGTCGGGCTTCTAACTACGTCATTGGAATGCGCCAGCTTTCGTACGAGCAGAGGATAAAACCTTTGGGAGTATTCAGCGGGCGGTATCACCGACTACGGTGCGACTTGATTACGGCGTATTTGATTTTAAACAATCCAAAGCACGTGTAGCGCTCTTTACTGCAACTCTGCAGTAACACCAAAATTAGAGTCCACCCCTTGAGAGTAGCAGAACAGTACAGTTGTCTGACGTGCCGTAGGAACTTCTTTTCCATTTGTGTGTGTGTCAACCATGGAACGCTCTCCCCGAATCTGTTGTTGTAGCACCCACGCTAGCCATATTTAATAGTCGGTTGGATGACGCACTCCGCCACTTAGATTTTGTTACTTGACGCTACTCTTCATCTAACTCCCGGTAAATACCTTGGATTTACTTTTTTCGCCTAGTGATGCTATGGGAACGCTCGGAATGCAGGGCTATTGAATCAAACACGATAAGTCATTTATTTTGACAGTAAAACTACTAACCGCTTTTTGCATTAACTTTTTTATTGTTAACCCATCAGACGACCCAACGGGGTTTGTAAAGCAACGCTTTTTAACCCGTATAAAATCAGTGTTCCTTGTTCGTAATGTAAAAGATGGCACCCCTCCCCCAAGACGGCTGGGCGCAAAGTTCCGACGATGCCACAAACGCCCTGCAGTGTGTCCCTGTCACCTACCCTCATCCATTTTGCCGACTCCACAATCTACAAATGTAATCTTTAGGTTAGCAATTGTGCCAAAGAATTTACTCTTACTACACGAGGACACTTCTGGAACCGACATCATTCGCTCGAAAGCGTTGGAAGTCTTGACTATTATGTTGTTGAGACGCTGCCGCGGTTCTTCCAGAGGTGCTCATGGCATCATCACCCCGGAAAATATTCCTTCTTGATTCTTCTCTCTGTGTTCTCTAAGGTGATGGAAGCGGTCATGGCTGGCGTTCTACTGGAATACCCGGATAAACGCAACGGCATGACGCCGGAGTAGCATGGGTTCTGACAATGCGGTTTATGCATCACCAAACTATGGCTGACAGGATGTAGCTGGACGGCAGCGGCCGATGGTGGGGCTGGAATCAACACCGTCTATCCAGACTTTTCCAAGCATCCAGATCGTTCTTACTTCACAGGCAACAGTGATGTGGAATCAAAATTGCTATCCTTGAGTGGATTGGCAACTTCCTTCACCAAAGAACGCCTCAAGTGCGTAGTAGAAGAAGAGTTTTCAACCCGCTTGAGATGAAATGCGGTGTTCCACAAGGCTCAGGGCTGAGGCCTAACATTTATCAAAGACTTGGCAATAATGATCGCGTCTAACTTCCAGTCTTTCGATGATGATGTCAAAATATGGCAAGAAATTAATAGCAATAACGATCATGAGTTCCTCCAACCTGACTTGGACTGCGTTCATGAGTGGGCAACAGGAAACCAACTGCAGTTTAAAACAGCCAAGTGCAAGGGGTCTCGGTTGTGTTATTAGCTGGTGAGCGTGTACAAGCTTGGAGAATGCACCCTGCAGAAAGTACCCCAGGAGTGTGTGCACTACATGCTGGTTCAGGACGACCTAAAATGTACAAAACAATCAATCAAGGTGTCGCGATCCGGTAGCCAACAACTCGACCTTTATGGCAGAACGTTCGGTTGGCTTTACCTCACAAACTTAACACAAATGCTCAGCACCTGTGTGAGACCGCTCATAAAATACGCCATCCAGGCGTAGCACCCATGACAGAAGCTGTATCCCGCTGGACTTGAGACTCCTAAACGAAGAGCATCCATGAGCATTAGAGGTAGCTTCCATCTGCACTACCAGGCTAGACTGAAGTCCCTACGAAGATACGGCAATCGATTTGGGTGCTTGTGTGGGGACCTCATGATGGTTTGTCAGATTCTGGAGAACCCCAACCACATTGGCCACCCGATGCTGGAACTGAACCCTGACCAACCTGAGAGGACATCATTTAAAGATGACTATGCAGTGTAGCCGGCTGGACTACCGTCGCATTTTCTTATCCCTCCCAGTGTGTCTGCCGTGGGACACTCCCTACGTAGATGGATTTTGTCCCTAGTCAAAAAAGCGACTTGGCGGTGCACTGTGATTTTTACATTCCATTTTACAACTTACGTTCACCAGAAGGCTACAGAAGCCGGATAAAAGGTGCGTACACACTTTGACCAGTTGTGTTGGTAACTACAGTAAAACCGCCGTAAGTTGACCACTCAAAGGGCTGGACCAAAAGAGTCAATATACAGAGATGGTAAAACTACAGAGGTCTGGATTTATATGGTGTGCATGGTGAACTTTCATGCAATGGAAAATAAAAGGAACTTAGGGAGATGGTCAGGCTATAGAGGTGTGATGGTGGTTGAAACCGATGCTGAGCGGAATCGAAATGATACCGGTGGGCAGATAGCTAATCGAACGCCACGCCGCATTTTGCGGAGTACCAAGCGGATGCAACTTAGCCCGAGGAAATGTGAGCATGTCATCGGAAGCGGATTGGTCAGCCAAGCAGTAAGGGGTTTGCGCACGCCCACGTTGCGCTCTGCGACGACACCCGGGCAACGGAACAAACATCCACTGAGTTTGAAGGTGACGGATCACGCGCCAGCAGGGTCCAAATGCGCAGGACTAACTCACTGGCGAAAAAGTGTGTACGTATGGTAAGCGGACTGGTTTGCAAGCCCACGAATAGACTGTACGCACTTGAGGCAAATTTTGCTGTGGCACCGGAACAAAGGGAAGGAGCATGTGATCAGATGGACGAGTGACCAACCGAGTCAATCACATAATCCACTCAGAAGTTCAGCAACGCGGCTCGAGGTAGATATAGACATGATGGACGTTGCGAACAAGCTTAAACCAGTGGAAATGAAGCCAGCGACAGAATGCAAATAACAGGGGTGAACCAGTGCAGCGGGCTTTCGCAAATAGTGTATATACTCTATAACTTTTCCTGCTTAATCTTAATAATCGACTTTGTGATCGCGGTCCAGTCTCCTTGATTTACGGAGAGTTACTCGACAGGAGGTGCTCAATTTCACCTGTGCGCAGTCAATTCTATCGACACACATTAATTTTACTATTTTTACCTCCATTATCCTATGAGGTCTGTTAAGCGTTCGCGTTTTTAGCCGCTATGTTTAACTGTTCCATTGTTCTCTATACTATTCGTCAAACCTTGAAGTGTCCCCGAAGATACTATTTTTACAGAATTTACTGGGACCTATTACGCTCCCCTTTCCACACAAGCGAGTTCAACCAGCGGTTGCACAACTACGTCGCTGACATCAGTTGGCCCATTCAATCACCTCTGCTGTGGAACCTTGGTTAGAGCTGGCCATCGTTCTTAAAGATAAGCTTACTATGCGTTGTGGTCCAGTTAATCACATTGTGATGTTGACAGTGTAGGGATACAGTAGGAGTACGCCAAAGGCTCAACTTCCTGTTCTGGCCTTTATTCACTACTGCGGCCGTGCACTTGATGTTCATTTAGGAGTAACACACTAACTTATAGACTTACGTGACTGGATGTATTTCTAGCGATGTGGTTGCACCGTGGTAGGCAAGTACCAGCTAAGCGAAAATTAAGATGGGCCGAAATGGGTGGTAGGGACATATTAAGTTATCACCCATTTATGCAATGCCACTTAAACCTAAACACAAACTGAAACACATCGGCACAGATGACCGGATGGCTGCAGTAGATGTCGGCCGCACTTTGACCAGTCAAGTACTCCCCTTTAGTTTTAACAGCCAACGAGAATCACAATTGGACTATGTTTTATTTCACAGTTTTCCTTCTATCACAAGTAGCACGCTCTTGACCCAGACTATACTGTATATCCGATACACATTTGAATCGCCTCAAGGCTGCAGATTGACCCAGGTGAAATATGATTACCGCCATCGGTTGATGACGATCAACTGAGTTCACAGACTGTCTCAGTTGGGAAATAACACTCCATTCTAGGCCCCGCATGCCCAGAGAATACAAGGCCGACAAACAAACCGCGTTTACATGTTATCAGAAAAAGCGGTTAACATGTAGCTGTACAGCAACTCTGGAGTGTTCAAGGTAGGATGGTGTATAGAAAGCACACGAGATAAATCAGAAGCGTGTGAGCGAAGCAGTAGTTCCTACGAAGCAAACAATAAGCAGTGGAGAACAAAGTGCAGTGCAACGACTGCAATGAAGAATTTAAAGTCCACAAAGTTAGGTCAGTTTCAGGGTATTCGACTTTCCTAACAACATCCATTCACTAGGCATGTAATATTTAGTGGCCAAAGTGGCTTACAAAGTTGAGACATTCTTCGCGAAGACTCATCAACTGTCTAAGATATTTCTCGCTTTCTAAATATCCTTTGATCCATGTTAAATGATATAACAATCAAGCCTTATACAATTTCTATTAGTACTTACCGGTTCATAACACAAAAGTTGCAAAAAATCCCGCACGACTTCCGGTGAGACGTCGCGCAGTGAAGTGGGAATTACATTCGGTCCGGTTTGGTCCCCGGCACGTAACGGGCTGTGAATATACAGAGAAAGGCTCAATGTTTTTTTGTGCTAAAGGATGATCAACCTATTCGGTATTCAAATTTCGTGAAACAGCAAGCGAAAGATGTTTTAAGGGTCTTGGCTTGTTAGTGTTCAGTGCTAAGTGTTGCATCACGCCAGTTGCTGGCTACGAGACGGTCAACCGCTGTAAGTGCGGTGTACTGATAAACATATAAACGGGATTCAGTAGTGGGTCATGCTGTATACTGGTCTTTACCGAAGCAATTAGCGCTACAGTGTTTCTTTTGTTTTGAGCGCAGACTCCCCGGAGGAGTGCCAATTTGGAATAAAGATTGGCCAAAGAACTCAGCACAAGTGAAGGATTAAGTTACTTTTTACTGTGATTAGTAGCACCCTACTGCTTCCTTCTTGGCTTTGTAGTCAGCATTCATACTTACTTGGTTTATTAATGCATTAGAATTAATTTGTAGAAGTTTTAGCCTCGCTCAGTTTCATTTGCGATTCTGAGTATTTTAGATTGTGTTACATGAGATGAGCTTTCGGCGATCTTAGATTGCCATTTAACGCCACTTACATCGTTTTTACAAGTTGGCGAAATAATCGCTTCATGCTTTTTCTTCGAAAATTGTTGGGCACAGGGCAAATACCCTCACGTGTATTGACCGCTGTGCTAGTTTTCATATTTCGTGCGTTGGATTACCCGTCGACTTCTATCATCTTTTGCCTTAACTCTAACAGGATTTTACTCACACTTTGGGCAACGAATGTCCCAGTCGAAGACAGCCAGAGAGTTATAACATGTCCCTATGCAGCTGATGACCACAAATGTCCAAATATGTGCAGATCCAACCACATGGTTACTGCCCAGATTCCAAGCGAGGTTCAATCTAGCCTTCTCTTTATTTCCCCGCCAACTCATTGTCTCAAGGTTCCCTGGTTTCGGGAGGCATGCCCCCAAAGGTGACGAATTGTCCACTATTGTTATGCTCTGCTAACTTTAAAGAACCAGGTGATAAATGACTGATGGCTGAGGATCCATGGAAAACTCAACGACGGGAGAATCTATGAAACGCATTTAAGGCTTCGGCTGCAGCTCAACAGTAAGACAGGTCAAGTACAGCTCGAGGTGAAATCTGATTGATTTTCACGCACCTGAATACACCTATTAAAGTCCTCAGACGCACTATGATCATGACCTAATTTTTACAGTTTCTGCTTGATGGCCTCCTCGAGGTGACTGAAGATGGAGTTAAAGTGAGGCAATTTACCCTCCTCGACGAAAGCACCATTGAGATGGACCGGACTATGCGGGTAAATTTTGTAGCATAGACGATCCCGAAGCTGATGCTGGCTCGGCTGAGCAGACTGAGAGGTTTATATTTGCCCGGATACGTATCCAGCTGACTGGACGCGCCATAAGCGTGCGAACATCGTATTAGAGTGAAGAAGAAACAAACCTTTGTATTGGTACCTTTCGAGTGGCTCCCATTCGAATGCAAATTCTTATCAACCGTTCCATCACCCTACAGGTAAACTCGGTACTTCCCACCATCTCTTGGGTACAGCCTTTATCAGTGTCTACAATCTTATGCACAAGTACGATCAGCTGTGCCGTTTGGTTGTGTCTGTGCGGCTGGAAGTAATGGGAGTTGCAGAAACGTGGTTAACTATTAACACAATCACAATGGGAATCGAGCTGAGGGCTTGCTCATACTGAAAATGTGATAAATTATCGACTACCAGCGATGGAATCTGACACTGCATTCGGTCTTTCCGTGTGTGGAATGTGTGTGCAGTTACCGAAGCGACAATGAACTGTGTGGGAAACTGAAGGGATCGTTGCACCTCAGGTGTAGAGAACTACTAGTGCACGCAGTTTATCCCAGCCCCCTGAGACGTCGCTTGGATAGCTATCATACCTCGGAAACCACATGAGTCACTCTTATTTTCTACTTATGGGCGATTCCACTTGTTCTCGAAAAACGCTTGCCCGAAACTCGGATTTGACCTGAGGTAGAAGTAGGGTTCTCGGAAATAGTACTTGAAACAGGGACAGCCAAGGCGTGCTCAGGACGTTCAGATACTGGAGCCTCTGACAGCAAGTTACTACTCACTTCTCGTGACAAAGCTAGAACTGCCGTTGTAATATTCCCATTCTTTGGAGCAAGCTTAAAACTACTGGACTGACGGTCTGCTTCGAGCCGCAAGCTAGATGGGCTGGTCTCTGGCAGAGGCTGCATACGTTGCGACTTATTGTTCAATCATAAAAGATGGAGTAGGTACATTATGAACCCGGTCTGTGCCCCTCAAGTGCCGGGAAATAGTTCTAGTGAATCCCCGATGGTACGAAATGGAGTATGGTAAATTGGCTCAGCTGCAGTGCAAATGGTGAGAGGAACTCCACCCACTTGGCTCGGTTTACGACTAGGAGACATGAAAGAGGTAGTGCGATATTTGTAACTGCGCGAAAAGGAGCAATTGCTGGCATTTCGAAGAGCAACTCGCAACCTCTGCAAACTCGTCCCGACGAGTAGCTACTTCTGTGAATCGGCGCCTGAAGTCTGCATCACTAGATAGATGAAATGAAGAGTCCGCGTTGGTGGTGCGCTTCCAATCCGTATTTGTAAATTACCAAGTGACCATACCGACTTCGTTATGCAGTCCCTGCCGAACTCGTAGTCCAGATTGTGGTGTTGAGGACATACATCAAATACTCGCCAACCTCGAGGACAGCACCAAGCCTAACAGCTCTCACGAATTCATCACCAAATCTCTTCGGTTTGCGTCCCAACTACCATGACGTCCAACGGTTTGTTGAGGATCGATTGGAAATACTCGGTGGTAAGATCAATTCCGAATGAAGTGTCATCAGCTAGGTAAACAGCTATTCAGCAATTGGTTTGCCAACTATTCTAGCCATATTACCCGATAATATATCAAAGAAGGATTTAATGCAGCCGTACCTGACAAAATATTTTCCGGCGCTTCCGCACTGCATGGTTTCTTGCCATGTCACCTGTGTATTACTAACCTGATTGTAGAGGCATTCTGAAGGACGCGTTGTGTGAGTGGATTGCGATGCACAATCTCACTGACCCTCCATTCAGTCATTGACCGTTGTGACAGGCGTTACTCGCCGTCACCCGGTAACCAAAGGGCTTCGACTGCTATTTAACGGTCTCGGATTTGAGGCCTGCTATCTCCACCAGATCAGATCGGATGAGGTCGGAACGCGTCTTGGTGTGCAGTGTTTTCGGTTGGGTACCACCTGATTTCCATAGTGCCTACCTGTTTGTGATTTGATATGAATAATTGCAGACAACAAAACAGAAGAATGTCCATGTGGCCGACGTCGAATTTGGCTAACTGTTCGACAAGGTAAATCATTAGGTCTTCCTACATAGGCTGAGTGTGTGGCTTTGTGTTTCATGACTCCAGTGAATCAGCGATTTGTTATTGGACGAATGTGGAGGGAATTAGGTCGACCGACATTTGACCTACTGTTATCCTTCAAATAGTGGCGCACTTCGATGGGTGTATTCTGTTACTGAATTACGACAATGATTTACCTCTGCTTCTCAGGTCGCTGAGTGCCATACTCGAGGATGGCCTAAAGTGTGGAAAAGAAGTAGATGCTCCATATGCTGCGGTCCAATTCAGTAAGACGTCAACAGCCACTGTATGTGGTTCGCGATTCAGTCAAGTCGACAATTATGAACCTGCGGAAGAGTGGTGAGGGCTGAACCTACAAGCTAGTCGGTCAACCGCTACATCCTACACACACTGCCATTTTAAGTCTGCGGACAACATGAATAGGCCCTATCGTATGGTTAACTGATGTTTTGAGCGCCCAAACTTATCTTTTGTGCCTGGTCCGAAGAGGCTATCACTCATCTCTTTTCTTCTATCATAACACGAATATTAAGGCTAGTTCGCCTACCATCCCATTACCCAAGGTGAAACACAGAAAGCCAAACGGAGTCCTCACTTTGTTACGACGCTTATCCCAGTTTTACGAGTCTTGCCGTACGAAGACAGGTGCGAAAGACGCGAACAATACACCCCATCGTATTGTCTATTGCGAGTCTAGCTCATTATGACTTACCGGACATTACATCTCGGTGGTTTCATGCTGAAGCCACTGCTGCACATAGGAACCCATTGTAGCACACTAGGACACCAAAAAAGCTTGTAGAGCTACTTGTACTTCGAACAAAGAGTGGTCAAGGTCTGGAACCAACTGTAAATAGTGGACGCATACCCGGTGCGGCAGTTTAAATTATTGCTGGATTTACATTTGTCTACTATTAAATTCAGAAGACCATTATTCACTGTCAATGAGACCTCACCTTTAGAAGTCTTAAGTAACTTCGAGTCATACAACGTTTAAAACACTTCTTCAGAAATTGAAAACGGTTAGAATACCAACAAATCACATACGGCACTTGACTTAGTTTCGTTTCTGCTCATATATCGTTCGACTATATATATATAACAAGGTGCCTACCTGTCTATTACCCACTACATCGTTCATACTGGCTCCAGGAGACACTTGGTCGTTGCTGGAGGGGACGGGGTGCACGGTTCTTGTGGCCGTGCTAGGCTCAAAGAGCGGTTCCATGCACTCAGTGTGGAGCGGACTACGGTCCAGCCACCGCCTTGTGTGCGGTTGATTCCCCAAATACAGCGTGCTTGTGTTTGCCTGTGAAGGAGTGTGGGCCGGCTCCGTTGATGAAACGTGGTTCCCATCCGCATGCCTCCCGGTCTTATTCCTTCGGGTTTACACTGGATATGGGGTATGTGGTTGGAGCTGTGGGTGGTGCAGCGCAAGCCATCCATGGTCCCTCTGTAGGCGCAGGCGTCCTGTGGCTTGCCACAGTGACAGGCAAATCCGAAACCGGATGCCGCCAACCATGTATGTATGTGTGCCCCATGCTGAGGCTGATGTTGCATTCTTGATGCTTCTTCACCGCAGTTGGGCTAAACCAACTTACACTTAAACTAGGTCTT